AAAGTTCTTTGTAATATATATTATAAAGCTATATAGAGCTTACTATACACTACAGAGCTTACTGCCAAATATCACAGAGGAAATCCAATTAGTATAAGGCCAATCTCTGTCACCAATGGCCAACAGGGATGTTATTTATTATTAGTCATTTAAGAATAAGAAAAAAATAAACCTAACGTTGCAAAATAGTATTTATCAGTAAACTGCTCACTGCTCTGTGAATATGAGGATATCTATATTTTCATAGACAGATGTACTTGGCACATAGTAAAATTTAACAAATGTGTAATTAATTGGTTGACTGTCCCACATTTTTTAGAGAAAATTCTAAACAACCAGCTAGGAGTTTGAAAAACTATCTTAAGACAAATTTAGACAACTCTAAACCATAGTTTTAAATAATGCCACATGTCTAGGTTAATCCCATTGAGATATATTATTCATTAGAGCTGCCTATTTTAGGATGAAAGGAGCCAGTAAAATCAGTTATGAACCTAATAGCAAAATTCTTAGGGGATTTGCATGGTGAGGGCTCTTTTTTTTTCTAGTCCTAGATAAATGAACCATAAAATTACCTTCCATTTCTCCCAAATCACAGTCCAGGTAGAAGAGAATCAAGGATTTCCCACAGATAACAACCAACAAGGGCTCTGAAATAATCTCTTAACGCTGTGCAGAACAATACAGTTCTGCCAAAATGCCTCCAAAAGTTCCCCCACCCACCTCCACCCCGACATGTCTCCCCCTACCTCCATGTGACCAGTAATAAGCAGTTCAAGTCAGAAATACCTCAGGGAAGTACTCTTGATACATTGGCTGTATGGGCTGCCTACTGGGAAAACAAAATGTATCTTCACTTAAACAACACCCTCAAGCTGTCAATACAGCTGTGAGACCACAGTCTGTGCACAGGGACAAAGAGGAAAAGGATGAGAGGTCTATTATTACCCCCACTGGATGTGCTAAAGGGAGATTAAACTGTACAACCAAGTACATATTGCACATGGGGTGAGATCCACAGCGTCCTACATCATAAGCTTGATGGGCACGCGACTAGCTTAATGGGCATGCGACTAACTGCCTTCAGAGTTATGCCCACTATGCCAGAAAGTTTTATCCGGGATATTGTATTACAGAAGCTATGTCAGGGCTGCCCAATGCCATTTTTTCCCCCAATGATGCACATCCTGCCTCTCCCATGTCTTTACTTACAATAAGAGAAGTTCTGAGATTAATTATCCTTATTCTCATACCATCCTTCTTCAGATGAAAAGAATCATACAACTGAGGAATGTGAGCCTTGAACTAAGGAATTATCTAGTTCACTGTGCTTTTATTACAGATGAGGGAAACTGACCCTAAAGAAGTTAAGCAATTTACTGAGGTCTCACAGCTAAAACAGATAGGATTATAGCCTAGGTTTGCTATATATTTTATATTTATATTTGCTGTGTATATTATAGCTAGGTTTAAGTGCCAGACCACTCAGTGCCTATTATTTTTTTTTTTAGATATGGCAGAATTTTATAGTGGATTGAGCACTGGACTTTGAGTAAGATCTAGGTTCAAATCCTGCCTCAGATACTTGCTAGCTACGTCATTCAATCTCTCTGCGCTTCAGAGGCCCCTAGAAAATGAAGGGGCTATACTAGATGGCCTGTAGGGGCCCTTCCATTTCTAAATCTAGGATCCTATGAGTTTTTGAATCATGATAAATTCCTCCCAACCAGAGAGACACCTTCACGGAGAGAGAGGGACCAATTTGATATCTAAAATTCCTGCAAAATATATGGTAAAGACACTCAGTTCAAAAATACAGGGTGTTCTAAAAGTTTTAATTGCTAAAACCTTACTAAGACTTTTGGGACACCCTAGGGAAAAAACAGGAAAAAACCCCAGAAAAACATATCAGAAAAACTAACAAACAAATTAATACCTATAGCTTAAATTCCGCAAAATGCCCATGATAAAAAAAAAATGACAAACTAGGAAAGATAGGACAAGTAAGCCTATCTAAATAAAAATATATTTTCACCTAGTTAAAAAAAGATGATTCTAAAAGAATAACATTGACATATTCTTTAGAGAAAAGGTGCAATATACAAAAATTCTTAAAGCCATTTTTTTCCTGATCCCAAGAGAAAGGCCACTGAAGTTTTAAAGGCAGTTTTCAGTGTCTCTGGATACAACGTAACACAAAAGACCAAACTTACTAAAATTATCTTACAAAGTTTGGTTCTGTCGGAGCTGTTTTCCTAACATTTCTTCCTTCCCCCATTCATCCTGATACCAAAGGAGACAGTATCATTTGCAGGCAATATACTTAACACTATCATTTCATCAGTATTGGGTAGCTATCCTCTCTGCCAACACACTCACCCCCCCCCCCATATCTTCTGTGTTGCTATGGCAAAAAAAAAAAATCATACTATGGGGATTGATTTTCTGGTAATGTTTCATAGAGCATAACTAGACTGGTCCACTGTTGGACACAAATGCTTCTTCTCCACTGGCACAGCCTGCAACAACCAAGGGTCCCCACCATACCAAGATGGCGCAGGGGACTAAGGTGTGAATGGGGAATTAGAGCTATGATCCTATGAGTTTCTCCTTCAAGAACCAAGGATCCCCACCATGCCTGGGGCAGAGGACTAAGGTGAATGGGGAATTAGAGCTATAATCCTCAGTTTCTCAATCATGATAAATTCCTACCAATCAGAGAGCCACCTTCGTGGAGAGAGGGACTAATTAGATATCTAAAATTCCTATAAAATAAATGCTAAAGTCACTCAGTTTAAATATACGGGGTGTTCCATGTCAGGACATTTTAGAAGTGTTCCTCTTAAAAATGGCATATAGAGTTTGAGAGCTAAGTTTTCAGAACTTGAAATAGTGTATCTCCTTTTCTAGACTTCATTGGATAACTACTTGAGTTGGCTCCAGTTTACAATTACCCTGATTAGCTATTTAAAGCTTACAATGCCAACTACTTGTCCTAAGTCGGTAAGAAAAGATTTCTTCTTTACCCTACCTTTGGAGCGACAAGTGGTAAAATGAAGAAATCAATGCTATAGCTTTCTTTAATCAGTTCAAGGACAAATCTAATGACATGAAGGACACAGAGGTGTCAAAAAGGAAAAAGCACACAGACTAATGAATTCAGCTTGGTCTTCTTACAAGTCAATTCCAACTTTCATAAAGGTATTTGCTGCAATCTTAAATTCTCAAGAAAGACTTGAACTAAAAGTAATCAAAATCTTGCTGAAATCTATAAAAAGACACTGTTGATTTCTTTATTGTGAATAGTAACAGTCCAATCCTTTTATGTTTATAAAGCATTTTCCATAGATCTCATTAGATGCTAGCAATAATCTGTTAGGGAGTACAAGCATTATTACCCCCATTTTCCAGAGAAGGAAACGAGGCTCAGCTCTGTGATTGGCTTAGATAAGGTAAAGGGTATGTTTCCAAGTAGCCACTTCCTGGAAAATAACACCCATTTTTAATCCTGTACCTTTGATGAGAATGACTGACAGTTTTTAGAAATCAATAAAATATTTTTTAAAACGTGAAAGGTGAGATTCCTTATTTTGATATAAAAAAAGAAGGGAAGTGGGTTCTTCCAAATATGTTTAAACAATAACTATCCAAGACCTAACTATCTGGCTAATTTTTCCCCCTCACTTGCCAGATGAGCTCACAAATTACAGGTCAAAAACCTAGACATTCTACCAAAGGACTAAAGGTCCTACTACCATTCCCCCTTAAAAATCAAGACAAATGGCGAACAGATTTACCCATTTATCTTTTCTCATATTTCAAGATACAAATTTGTTAACACTTTACAAGTTAGTGATTTCACCTGAGTTGCCTAGTGCCTGAAGCAACTCTGCTGATAAAAATCTGACAATTTTAAGTCAAAGCAAAAATGCTTATGGAAAGCTTCCCAAACCAGACATACATGAAAGCTTTATGTTACGTTAACCTTTAAATGGCAAATTAAGGATAACTTTTTTTTAGCAATTTAGGAATTTAACTATTCCCATAAATATATTTTAAAGAATAAGGAACTTCACTTTTCACATTTTAAAAAACAATGTATTGATGTTATTTTCTTTTTTTTTTTAACTGTCAGTCCACATTGGTTGGTCTCCCCCACTCACCATTCCCTTGTAACAAATTAGTTCTGCATACATAAATGATCAGCAAAATAGAAAAACTTGAAACCACAGGGGAGAAAAAATTAACATATTGGCTATGACTAAAAATACATGCTTCCTTCTACGGGCCTGGTTCATTATTTAGGTTTACGGTCTAAATTTTAAGCCAGGTATCCATTCAAAACTTACTGTCTTTTCACTCTTTACAAGTTTATACATACCTCCCTATCCCCAAACCTTAAAAGGTCATCTAGTTCAAGTCAACTAAATTCAATAAGCATTTATTAGGCACCTTCTATGCCCTAGGCAATATGTTAGTTACTGGGAATACAAAGACAAAAATGAAAACAAGTCCACCTTCTCAAGAAATTTACATTTTAATGATTTCAGGCCCAGCACTCTATCCATTGCTCCACCTAGCTGCCCTAAATTTAGTCATGTCTGTTTCTTCATGACCTCATTTGGATTTTTTTTTGGCAAAAATACTGGAGAGGTTTGCCATTTCCTTCTCCAGCTGATTTTACAGGTGAGGAAACTGAGGCAAACAGGGTTAATGACTTGCCCAGGGTCATACAGCTAGTTAAGTGTCCGAGGCCAGATCTGAACTCAGGAAGATGCATCTTCCTGACACTAGGCCCCAGAACTCTACCCACTGTGCCACCTAGCTGCCCACTAAAGTCCTACCCCCCAAAAAATAACATGATTCCACAATTAGCTCCTCATGGATTTGTGGACTAGGATATTATCAAAAGGGTTCACATGGGTGGGATTCTAGAAATCTACACTTCCAAGAACTAGGAATATCTGTATCACACACATACTCCATAAAAGATTGCTTACCTCTCCTACCACCTCTATGATGTCACCAACTTTCAATTCCAGTTCATCATCATTCTGGGGCAGGTAACTAAATGCTACCTGACATCGTCGCCTTCGATTGCGTTCTAGATAGAGGGAAAAACAAAGAATATTTAGATAAGGTCTTTGCAAAAATAAATACATACATTTTTGAAAAATTAAAAAAAAACTAAATAAATAAAGCTTCCTGAGCACATAGATGGATTAAGCTCACAAATCTTGGTTATGATCTTTGGAAAATGGCTAGGCATGCTCCAGCATTGAATTAGGAATGAACAAGGCAATGCTTTTTTTATTTTAAATTAAAAAAAAATTTTTTTTAACAAAATCTGCTGGGTCAGGTAGGAATGAATATGAAGAATTTATCAAGTTGTAGGAGAAGCCTAGTAAAACCCAAATCCTAGGCACTCTGGGGACCTGGTGCTGCCTATGCTATTTTGCAAAGTATTTTTAAACTGATGTAATATGACCTAGAAGTAATAATGGTCTGATTCACAAAAAAGGAAAACGATAAATGTTGGATAAGATGTGGGAAAACTGGGACACTAATGCATTGTTGGTGGAGTTGTTAACTGATCTAACTATTCTGGAGAACAATTTGGAACTATGCCCCAAGGGCACCCAAAGGGTACATACCCTTTGCCCCAGCAATACAACTACTAGGTCTGTATCCCAATAGTGAAAAAGGGAAAAGGACTTACATGCACAAAAATATTTGTAGCAGCCCTTTTTGTGGTGGCAAAGAATTGGAAATTGAGGGGATGTCCATCAATTGGGAAATGGCTAAACAAGCTGTGGTATATTAATGTAATGAAATACTACTGTGCTATAAGAAATGATAAAAAAAAAAAGAAAAAAAAAGAAATGAGCAGGTGAATTTCAGAAAAACCTAGATGCATGAACTGATGCTGAGTACAGAAAACAGAACCAGGAGAACATTATACATAGTAACAGCAATTTTGTAAATTATCAACTATAATAGACTTGACTTATCTTAGCAATACAATGATCCAAGACAATTCCAAAAGACTTGTGATGGAAAATGCTATCCATATCCAGAGAAAGAACTATGCAGATCATAGCATACTATTTTCACTGTTTTTTGTTTTTTGCTTCTCATAGTTTTTCCCTTTTGTTCTGATTCTTCTTTCACAATCTGACTAATGTGGAAATATGTTTAACATGATTGCCCATGGATAACCTGTATCAGGTTGCCTGCTGTCTTTAGGAGAGGGGAGAGAAGGGAAGAAGGGAGAAAAATTTGGAACTCAGAATCTTAAAAAAAATGAATGTTGGAAACTATTTTTACATGTAATTGGAAAAAATAAAATACTATTAAAAAATAAAAAAACTTAAAAAAAGAATGGTCTAATTCAAATGTTAGAGACTGGACAGGGTGAATTTCACATGACAAAAGGAAAAACTGACCTGCTTTTGGGGAGGAGGGAGGTGCATGGGGACTAATCCATTTATAACCCATTACAACTGTGGCCAGTAGTATTTTTCTTAAACCATATTTGTCATACAGATCAATGATTCCTGTCATACAAGTCAAATCAAGGTAAAAACAAAACAGAACAAAACCAAATCTATATTTCACTAACACAGTAACAGAACATAAAACTAACCACAAGATAATTTATTTTCCCTACCACTGAAATTCTTCCTTACCTTTAAGACTCAGCTCACAGCTCATAATCCACATAATAAAAACCCACAACTAAGAGTCATAATAATTGTGACTACCCATCCCCAATATATCTTGTGCAAGGCAGCATGGTGTAATAGACACTATTCTGAACTTTGAATCCAAAATCTTGTGTTCAACTCCTGCCTCCGACATTTAATAGCTATGTCACTTTGGACAACATCTCTAATATGCCTCAGTTTCTTTATCTGCTAAAAAAAAGTAAACAGTTTGGACTAGATATCCTCAGGTCCCTTCCAATTCTAATCTGTGATTCAGTGATCTAATTTTTATACTGTTTCTGAATATATACAGGATCACAGACTTACATCTGGAAATGACCTTGGAGATCAATAAGTCTAAAACAGAAGTAATAGTACCTATAGTAGAAGGGTTCTTAACCATGGAGCCCATGAACTTGGGTTTTTAAAAAATATTTTGAGAACTATAATTCAATATAATTGGTTTCTTTTGCAATCCTATGCATAATGTTTTGTGCATTTAAAAATATGATTCTGAGAAGGGGTCGATAGGTTTTATCAGACTGCCAAAGGAGCCCTCAACACAAAAAAAGTTAAGTACCCTCCCTATAGTACCTCCTTACAGGGTTCTTGTGAGGATCAAGAAAAGGAAAGAGAGATAGGAAGCACATGACTTATACCTCCTGCTAAACTGTAAGCCCTCTGAGGGCAAGGGACTTTCATTTCTTGTCTTTCTATCCCCAGCATCCCACTACACACACACACCCCCACCCCCACTCCACCCCACCCTGCCACACACACACACACACTCCTCCCTTGCCCCAAGAGGGCCCTTCACAAGTGTTTGCTCAAGAGAAACTGGTCTAGCAAGCTCCTGCTTCTCAGAACCAACACAGAGGAAGGCTTGATGTGCTGCAGAAATCTGAGCAGAGACAAGGGCAGCTGGGAAGCAGCCACAGCCACGGGGGCCACCGCAGTGCAGATCTATGTCATGGATGAAAGAACATGTGTGCCTCAGTGTGCATGCAGGTGGTCACAGATAAAGCGTTTAAGAGCCGCAGTGCCGGGCTAAGCTAGGCAGAGAGGAATGCGTGTCTCCTGCACCTGTGATTTTTTTTTTTTTTCTGGTTAACAGGAGACAGAAGCACAGAGTCAAGAGGGAGGGGGAGAAGTAATTTCTGAGAAGTTCATTTCACCACAGCTAGTCACTCTAACACCCATCCCTCTCCATTATGCGTCCACTACGGCCTTGATGACTCAAGGTGATAATGACAAAAGAAACATTCAAAACTGTTTTAAAGATATGTGGATCACCTTTAGGGAACACATTGGGGGTGGGGGGGTTTAGTGGGGGGATTGCCCTAAGGAAAGGAAATTCATATTCAGCAGTAATAATAGCTCCCTGCTGAGCACATTATGGTCTGTAAACAGCATGGCACCAGGAAGGGAAAAGGCCAATCTATTCTATCACTATGCCAGGTTAATCAATATTCCTCAAAAGCCTCTACGGATGCTATTCTGTTGGTAGCCTAATTCTCTCATCCATTTTCCTCCGTCTAAATTTCTCTTCTAAAGAAAAGCAGATCTTAACAGACAATATGAGATGGAAGGGAAGCATAAATACTTTATTTATAATCAGGATAGCAACCCATCAATAAACACTTATTAAGTGCCCACTATGTGACAGGCACCATGCTGAGCACTGGGGATGCACAAAGAGGCAAGACAGTCCCTGCTCTCACAATCTAACGGGGGAGACAACATGCAAATAAATATATACAAAGCAAGCTATACAGGATAAATGGGAAAGGATTAAATAGAGGGAAGGCACTAGAATTATGAGAGGATGAGGAAGGTTTCCAGTAGAAAATGAGATTTCAATTGGGACTTAAAGGAAGCCAGGGAGGTCAGTAGTCATAGCAAAGGAGGAGGAGCATGGGGAGATGGCTAGGGAGAGTGCCCAGAGTCGAAAGATGGCATGTTTTTGGAGTGTCTTGCTCATGGAACAGCCTGGAGGCCAGTGTCACTGGATCTAAGGGTTTGTGTGAGGGAGTAAGGTAAAAGAAGATGGAAAAGGTAGGAGGGGGCTAGGTTAGGAAGGGCTTTGAATGCCAAACAGAATATTTTGTATTTGGTCCTGGAGGCAACAAGAAGTCCCTGCAGTTTATTGAGTAGGGTGATGACATGATCAGATCTGTGCTTTGGAAAAATCATTTTAGTGGCTTAAGAGACTCAAAGCAGGCTGACCCAGCAATAGGCTGTACATATATCTGGAGATAGCAGGAAGAGCCTGGGACCTAGACCCAGAAGACCTACATCTGAATCCCAGCTCTGATGCTGACTAGTTGTGTGACCCTGAACAAGTCACTAAACTTTTCCAGGGCTGTTTTCCTCATTTATAAAACTAAGGTTTGAATTACATAATGTCTAAAGGTCCCTTCCTGCTCTGACATTTGGTGATTTTCTCCTGAAACTGACATTCAATATTTCAGTCTCTTTGTCCCTAAGCAAGAAGCCAATTAATTGTAATAAGAGCAAGACACTGGAAACATGCAACAGGACAATTCTAAAGATGCTTTCTCGCCAACAGACTCAATGGCAACATCATCAATGAGGACATGAATGTCTCTGGAGCAGATGATGTACCACTGCCTGCTTTCTGTCCAAAGCGGAAGGTCAGATACAGTTATAATCCTCCCTTTTCACAGGATCATAGCTCTATTACCTCCAGTTAATCCAGGATCAAAATATAAAGCCCCTCGTTTGACATTGAATGCCCTCCATAATGGGATGTTTACAAAGTTTGAGAGACATATGGGAAATTTGATCATTTTACTAATAAGGCCAGCAGGTTATTAATAAAAGGATGGTCATTTAGCCATCTCTCTTAGACCCTAATGGTGGTGGGGTCACAATTTACATGCCCTTCAAAGAGGTGTTCCTGAGGAGGGCCTACTCAACTCTTACTGATTAATCAAATGGGAGGTGGGCTATCTTGGGGTCCTTGACTTAGGTCAGTCAAATCTTGGTCAAAGAGACATCAATCTCCATATCACCTATCTTGATTATAGGGAGAATCTTTTCCCAGGACCTGTCTGAGTAAACACAATGAGCAGGAATACATCCATTAGCCCAAACTTAGAATTTCTTTTACTGTCTGATTAGATCTTGGCCTTGGTAAATCCCTAAGAGAAATTTCTCACACTGGTTGATTTCTGAATGAGGAAGTAGAAAGGGGGAAAAATGTGGTCCTAATATAATTAGTTATTAAATATAATATTCACTTCTCATAATAACTTGGCTCTTTCCTATCTTTCCAGTCTTATAATATTTCTTCTTACACTTTACTCTTCTTCATGTGCTCCACAGTCTAGCAACATCAGCTTTCCAAAAAACCCACTTCATCTCCCAACACCAT